ACATGCCCTCTCTATCCCATCTATATATGGCCCCATCCCTAATGCATATTTTCATCCTCTACGTGTCTACTGGTATCTTCCACTTTCCCTCAAACATGCAATTTTTAATACCATCCTAAAAAAAGCCAGCTCTTGAAAAACCTGACTAAAAAAACAACCTCTCCTTCAGAATACCATCCCATATCACTTCTCCCCTTCACTTCTAAGTTTCTTGAGTGTGTTGTACTTACCCATCTAACTCACTTTCTCAATACTAAGTCTCTCCTTGACCATCTTCAGTCTGGCCTCCACTCCTTTCATTCTACTAAAATTACCCTTACAAGAATGACTAATGACTTAATCACTGCTAAATCTAATGGTCTTTCTCTTAATTATGCTCGACCTCCCTGCTACCTTTGATACACCACTCTCTTCATCTTCAAACCCTCCACAAGCTTGGACTTCATGACACAGTACTTTCCTGGTTTTCATCCTATCTTTCTGAACATTTATTTAGTATCTCTCTCTCGGGTGCCACCTCCTCCCCACTACCTGTCTTTGTTGGTGTTCCCCAAGGCTCTGTTCTTGGTCCTCTTTTATTCTCCATCTACACTGGTAACCTTATTAACTCCTTTGGATTTCAGTACTATGTGCGGACTATACACAGATATACCTCTCCTCCCCTGACCTCCCTCCTGCTCTCCTAGAATGTATTGCAAATTGCCTCACTTCCATTTTTAACTGGATGTCTTCCCATTTTCTAAAACCTATTTTTTTGAAAACTGAACTCCCCATCTTTGCATCTTCAAATAGTCCTCCATCATCAATCTCGCCGCACGTCAATGGGACACAGAGAGAATTAAACAGAGCAAGATGATCACGAGGAGTGAGAAAAAGAAAAATACATTTTGGCACCCTGATTAAAACCTGACTCTACTGTCACATCAGTAAGACCGGTTTACAGTCATTTACACTAGTATAGCAGGATAGCCTGCTGTGTTTGAGCCCCATAAAGTAAGCACAGATTCAGCTTAATCTTACATTTCATAAAAGTTCAGCAAATGTGACTTACTCCTGAACTCCCTATGGTCCTATTTATCGGGGAAATACTGCAACAAATCTGGGTCTAAATGAAAAATCAGCAGAATTATTTTGTTGACTTCAATGGTGATTACTCCGGATTTAGTACAAAATTGTTTCTGTTTTGCCTTAATTAAGGCTGGCAGCTAACTCAGAAAAATGCGAACCTATCAAAATACACTATTGATGTAATCAGGAGCAATACTTATCGATGAGTAAAATAAAGAGGTCACTATATAGAAGATCTATAGTAAATAACGCTTAGGACTTGGTCAAACAGGAACCCACAAATAAAATAATTCTGTGTAAAGAAGTAGTGACAGTGTATCACTCTCTAAACGAAAGTGCTAACTTAACACAGCTCCTCATTACAAAGTTTTAAGCTCTGGAATGAGCCAAGGTAATTAGCTAAAAGCTGCTTCGAGCTGCAAAGATACTAACTGTCCATTTACAACACCAGCAACAAATAAAGGTTTATTCTTCCCGAGGTGGAAAATAGTCTCCGAAGGCAATTAAGGAACTTACATCGGCCATTTATAAATCCTTGCAACAAAATAAATCTCAGAGGAGATCCGGGAGGCAAATGGAAGGTGCAGGACAAATCAGTATCAGCAAAAATACACCAGTTTCACATTAGAAATTTGTATTCAATCAACCTTCATTTTAAAAACAACAAACAACAGCACTCTAATGGACCAGAAAACTTCTGGGTAACCTATCCCACAGCTAGTACAGGACTTAGAAGAAAGGTAGTAAAATAAAATATTAAACAAAAAATGAATACAGATATAAATATGCATCCCATCTCTGGAGGTATGGATCCAGGAATAGGAAGGGTGAGGGTAAGCTAGGAAGCATATCAACAGGGGATTGTGGATGCTATAAAGGCTGTGTTCACTTGCACACCTCGCAAAAATGCTAATTAACAGTCAAGAAGGCCACTCTGAAAATACTCATGCTAAAATTATCTCAACATTCTTTGGTGACATTCTCTGCAAATTATCTTCCAGGTTTTTATATATTTTTTGCATGAGCTTAAAAGGTAGGACATCAGAAAATAATATGACTCCAATTACAAGTACTTATATAGTTCACACTGATAATACTTTGAATATATATGTGTATCTAATTTAAAAACATGTGGGCATAGATGTGTCTATGTGGCCATCATTGACGGAATTAATACAAAGCTTGATCATAATGAGCACATGTATATACTCCTATATTTAGGTACATACTGTCCACCATTTTGCCTGCATGGAAATGTTAGCTTGGAACAGTCTTGCTCCAAAATATCTGGTCTCTCCATAAAATATTTGTTTTCACTTACATATTTTATTTTTTTCTTGTATTCTCTTGACTAATATAAGTCTGTGGGTTCCAATTTACAAAGAATTTGTACTCCAGGCTGGGTATGTAAGAATTGTTATTCAGCAAAAAATTCAAAACAAAACATGTGTTACCTTTATCAGTTTAAAAAAAACCCCCACTATACAACTTAGTTTTCTAAACAGTACTAAGTGTAACTTTTAACTACCACAACAAGAGGACATCGTCTTAAATTAGAGGGGCAAATGTTTAAAAATAATATCAGGAAGTATTACTTTACTGAGAGGGTAGTGGGTGCATGGAATAGCCTTCCAGCTGAAGTGGTAGAGGTTAACACAGTGAGGAGGTTTAAGCATGCGTGGGATAGGCATAAGGCTATTCTAGACGTAAGATGAGGCCAGGGGCTAATTAAAATTTTTAGAAAATTGGGCAGACTAGATGGACCAAATGGTTCTTATCTGCCATCACATTCTGTGTTTCAATATCCCGCTATAATCATCTGTTGGTGAATATGGAGCCTATCTTTAGAGCACTCTTAAAATGTTGTTCAACCACAACTCCCACTGTGTTCTACTAACATGTTCCAAGCAGAAAAATATAGTTTAGCAAAACTTTCAAGAGACCATACATTTTACATAATTGTAGTTGTTATTTCTTTAAACATTTCAGGAAATTATGTTATATAATATAATTAGTATTGGTGGTACATAAGTATTATGTATCCATCTATCTTACCCGTATATGTCAAGAACACCAATAAATGAATGCTGTTTGCTGGTGGTATGCAGTGCTTTGTTGACATGTTGTACAATCCAGTTGAATAGTTGGGCATAGATATGTTTTGCCAACGCGTTTCTTGCATTTAAGGCTTGCTGCACAGGCATGTTCTTCACATATGTCTCTGACGTGGTGACGAGTTTCCTATGGCAAAGCCAGTGCTCCATTTGGTCGTGCTCCACTCCCAGCAATGTACAGAAATTGTTCAGATAAACATCGCCTTTCTAGAGATGGATATCAAAATTCAGGGTCAATCAATCTCATTCAATAAACAAACCTGCTTAGCTCAGTGTCAGATTCCAGAAGCAGGTCTGTGGTAACAGTTGCCTGGTTGCATCTAGAAAAGTTGTCAAACATTCTAAAACATGCTAGTCTGCTGTAGTGGTTATGGTGCTTGGAGAGCTCTTTTATTATTATTATTGGTATTTATATAGCGCCAACTAATTCCGCAGTGCTTTACAATATTACAAAAGGGGGGAAATTTTGCAATAAATTAGACAATTACACAGTGATGCATGAACAATAGGTAGATGAGGGCCCTGCTCAAATGAGTTTACAGTCTAGAGGAGGTGAGGTACAAATAGACAACAGGGCAGCAAGGGTGACAGCCACCAAACAAGGTGGAAAAGTAGCAGAACTGGAGGTGATAGTGGAGTGTGGCTCTTTAGGCGAGCTAGAGACAGATATGGATAAGTATCGAACAGATGTGTTTTGAGGGACTTTTTAAACAATTGAAGACTATGGGAGAGTCTGATGGGGGCAGGCAGGCTGTTCCAAAGAAAGGGCCATTACGAAGTCCTGCAAGCGCGGGTTGGCAGGTTTGAAGGTGCATATCTATGAATCAGTGAAAAAATGTAAGAGAGGCTAGAGTCGGTTAGATAGAGCTTTGTAGGTAAGGGTTAGTATTTTGAATTTACACCTATAGGATACAGGAAGCCAGTGTAAGGAATGACAGAGGGGTAAGGTATAGGAAGAGCGAAGGGTTAGAAAGATCAGCCTGGCGCAGCATTCATTACTAATTGTAGTGGGGCAGTTAGACTGTTTAACATTGCAGGACTAACTAGCTACGCACAATGCACCCAGGCTCCGTCACTGAGTTGAAGTGGCCTGGGTGCCCATATTGTCCCTTTAACTCATATTTACTCACTTTACATTATCTTGCATTAATTAACAAAGGCATTTGGACAAAAGGATCATTTATGTCACTTTATAAATCAGTTTCTTAAATTTTGGAAGCAAAGGTAAGTATAATATAACTAGTTAAAATAGCCCATCAAATTGTTGTTTGTATAAAGATAAAAAACAACTGACAATCTTTAGTTTTCTTTTGATACATGTACAGCTACTAGCTAAAGAAAACAATGTGGCACATCCAATTAATGTTCTTCTATTAATTAAAAAATACATTATTTATGTTATGTTTACAGTGTGTAAGATTTATTGTGTAAATGCAGAGTCAGTAATGAATAGGCTTTCGAGTTTCTGCCACATTATCGCTACTGCTCTGCAGATATATATATTGCTCACTAGGAACCGATTCACTTTCAGAAAATTGTATTAACTCACTACATCAATACAGCGCTAATGAGTCCATTTAATTTGCTTAGTTTTGTTTGAACCCATTTAACAAACATAATCAAAGCCAGAGAAGGTTCATGACGTGGTGCCTTGCAAAGCGTTCTTTTTTATATAAGAAGTCTTCAGACTTAAATAAAGCACGAAGGATCCAACTGGAATAAGACAACATTCTACTTCCATTGGCTTCATGCTTGAAAATGTAAAGGGGGCCTCTAAGCACCATACCTGCTAGATCAGTAGTCCCCAACCCAGTCCTTGTGGGCTACCAACAGTCCAGGTTTTGTTAGTATCTCCATTTGAATAAAAAAGGGAAATACAGAAATCCTGGACTGTTGGTGGTCCATAGGATTGGGTTGGGGACCACTGCATTAGAGTACACTGCGGTTATGGCTATTCTCCTCCTACAATAAATATATCACTTTTGTCCCTATTTGGATGGAAATCATTGGCTGAGAGATTCCCAGGTGGAACTTGTATCACTATCACAGCAAGGGAACTTCTATCTTAGTGATAGCTAAATAGGAGTCCAGCCATGGGAACCCAAATACGTCGTAAAGCATTTAAAATCAGTTTGGCTACCCTGGCACCATAACCAATAGTGCTCCATTAGATTTTTACATGGGTGCAGAAGAGAGAGAAGATCAACCTTGGTTTCTTCATGGTTATTGTAGGTTCCTTGGGATCTCCTTTTTATTTACTTTAATTTCAACTTTAAAGCCCATTAGAGCTTTAAAATAATAGAATATATGCTGAATAGCACTCACAATGGGAATAATTAATTTAACCTCCATTTATAGCCAAATTGCTGCACTTCACATTTTGGAGACTTTAAAGTTGGAATTTACAAAACTGGCAAAAAGCAACATTTAAGAATATATTATTGTTAACATTATGCCTGACTTACCAGTAAGCTACAGGATTCCCCATCTCTTTCCGACTCAATATTTACATTTCCGAGGTGCAGAATGGAAGCAATTATTTTAAATATACTCATCTGGTGAGACTCCTTGACCCCTAGGAAAACATACACAATAATTAGTTTCATTTTCACACAAATGTATTTATTTTTAACACTGCAAGTTTCATTAGTATGGGCTGGAAGTAGGATAGAGATAGATCGATAGATAAAATTGAGAAAAAGACACTTAAAGTGTTTGATTATTGTTAATATCTGATTATCTATATCCCAATATCTCAAATCGGGGTGGGGTTAGTTCTAAATTTAGATGCTTGCACAGCCATCCCAGGGTTGTCTCTGTGAGTTCATTATGGGACACATCTGCATTATGGAGAATTCTGACAATGAAGGGCACTCCAGAAGCATTCGGCGCATGGCAAGCATTGAGGATGGCAGACAGCATGGTGGTTAGTGAGCCTAGAGTCATACAAATCCCTGTTCTGAGCTAGCTCAGGCTAAGTATAAGAAAATAAACATGCAGCTTTATAATGATTGGTTTATCTTAAATGAAGGCTACCGAACTTTAACCTTGGCAATGTTGAACTTGAGTCTTGATTGGTGAAGCTACTACTTTGAGTCGGCAACCCTCAAGATTTAGATGAAATGTGTGGGGATTAGTGCAAAAAGAAGGGAATTCAAAATAAAGCATAATGTTTTATTATTTTGTTTTGGCTGTTTATGTATATTTTTTAATGCATTAAAGGAACACTACAGCGTTAGGAATAAAACCATGTATTCCTAATTCTATCGTGTCCTATTCCTGATTTAGGTTCAGGGACCCCCAATATCAGTTTTTTTTACATTGGCGGACAAAAATGACAGGCCTACTGCACCATGGCCAATTCAATGAAATTAAGTACTTGCAAAGTATATGGCATCACACTTCTTGCACCTTGGGGAAATATAACCACCAGAGTCGAATTATTTGACTATTTAGAAATAGAAGACTTGAAAACCCATGGTCCAGTTTCTTGTATGGGGTGGTGAGAGGGTTATGTTTCAGCATTAGGGTCAGTGGGACATGCACCGTATAGACAAAAGGCTATTAGGACCAGATAATTAGATATGGTCTGATTTATATTGGGCTAGGTGGATTGGGGTTCCTCCTAACCCCCCTCCTAACTAGATCACCATCCATCTCATCACCCTGTTGGTGCAAACAAGGAGGGGCCATTTGTCAGATTCCAACATGGAGTATTATTGCACTCCACCTAACCAATAGGGGGAGCAGTTTGTCAAGCCTATGTTTGGTATATCAGTACTCTCCACACAGTTCAGAGGAAGGCGATCTTTATAGGGCCAATATCCATTTATTTATTAGGGATGTGCATGGGCAAAAAATTAAGTTCGGTTTGGAAATTCGGGTAAGTAAAAAAAAATGAGGCACTTTGGCAATTAAGCATCCCTCTCTTTCCACCACAACCACTTACACATCTGTAGGGCTCCCTACCCCTAACCCTACCCCTAACCCAACCCCTATCCCTAACCACCACAACCACTTACACATGTAGGGGTAGGGTTAGGTGCCTGGACTGCCACCACAACCACTTACACATCTACAGGGCTCCCAGTGACAGGAATTAGCTTATTGGTTTAGATTCCTGTCATCATTCACGTAATTGTCCCTCCCTCTCTTACTTTGCCAGTATTCAGAAATCCAAAGCACAATGGCACTTCGGTTCGGTTAGGCACTTCTGAAATTCGGGACTTCGGCACTTCGCATTTCGGTTCAGCACTTTGGACATTCAGAAGCATCCGAATGTCCAAATTGCCAAAATTCATCCAAATCTTCATTCGGAACTAAACGAATTGTACATGTCTATTATTTAACCCCTTCACCTTCCACATGCTGGATGAAGAGGGAACCATTCTCCATCACCCTGATCAATCTTGGGGTCTGAGGATTCCCACATTGTTTTTTTCTTGTGTAAACTCCATCCAACAGAAGTGTATTTAGCAGCCAGTTCACTTGCAGAGTGTGTTGTTTGCTTTGACAGACAGAAATGAACATTTTATGGAAGTGGTACCACAACAGCTGTCTTAGGTGTTAAGTCTCTGCACAACAAAGGGCAGGCAACTACGACAGAGTGACTTATACACAAAATCAGCATCACTCTGGTTCTGCTGCCATGGACATTCAATCTAACATTCAGTGCATTTCATGTGTATTAAACGTGCCCTATGAATAAGAAATGATGCTTCTACTTGTGTGTTCTAGTCTTTATATCTTTTGGGAGGGTTTATGCATTATATAAATGTACTGTGCACAAAATACTCTCCAATTCTTGCATGTGATTGTGTGCGGAAAATACTGTTCTACTGCACAAGAGGCTTAATTAAAGAAATTGCTTAAAAGGCCAAGATTTCTCTCCTACCAAATTAGAAGGTATCTGTATAACTAGCAGCCAGTGGCCATGGTCAAAGGTAGTATAAGATCATACTTTTTTGGGTTCATGTACAGATCAGAACCTGTCTGTTGCTTGCAATACTTCATTCCAAACATTCATGTCCATCTCAGCCTCCATTGGCCACTGATGTACACTGGTTGAAATGTACCTTTGACAACAAATTTTCACAATGTCAGGACATTACCACCATCTGATACACGGTGAAGACAATGCAGGGGCTTCTCACATTTTACTACTATCTGATCAGTGTTCCTCTATTACATTAATGTGCAAAGAGGGCTGGGTTCCAGAATACCAACCAGTTTCTGATATTTTTGTGTAACTACCTATTTTATGTTTACCAAAAAAACTGTACCTTCACACCTGATCCGTTGTGTTTCCCAAATGTGACCTTATGCCTCCAACTAGGAACTTGGGCTGCCAGCCCTGATCTGCAGGCTGTTTGCAAGTATGAACATTTGTTGCCAGCCCTGACCTATTGCCTTTTATCAACTTGTCACGGTTGCAGGTAATGTTTTAGCAGACACTATATTCATTAGGGCTCAACCTGATGGAACAAGTGGCATACAGACAGACTACCTCTGTGGTGTGAATTCAGGCCTCCAGACGCTGTGCATGATATTGATATTGTATGACTCTTAAAATTTTAAAGTTAAACACTATTGCTTTAAAGAGGTAGGTTAAAGTTATGCCAATTAGGTACAGATGAACTGAATAATAATTCCAAAACATATTTATAAATTTATCTACCTATCTACTTATCTATAGCTATCCTTATCCACAACACTTTAAAATTCAGCAATTAATCATTAACACAGTTACAAACATAATGCTATTTAATAAAATATACTAGCTCAATAGGAGTAATGTATCGTTACAACAATTAACATTTTAGGAGGTTCTCATTCCTTTGCGGAGGCATTTGGTTTTTTTTAAAAATTGAGAATTACATTTATTGTTTTTGCATATATTTAAACACAAATTCCATGTAAAATAATGATGCTGTGCTTGTAGTACCAATGGGGTAAGGGGATATCACTCAAGGAAAAAGTACAAAGAACTCAAAGGGTGAAGCACACAATATTAATTTATTTTGATAACACTGCAAATGTTAGACACCAGACCTGTCACCACCCAAACCTAAAATTCTTCATCATAGAAAGGTTTTTGTCCCTTGTGTCTGTGAATTTGGGGTCATCCCAGGCTATGTTATTATAAAATGCTATTGCATTCAGATCATTCCCAAAAATACAAATTGTTCTGACAAAGTGTTATTGGAATTCAAGTCTTACCCAGAAGTGTTAAAGCTTGCCTAGTTTTCTCAAAGTCGTCTGCGTCATCAACGCCGTCAATAGCCGTATCGCCCCCCTGACTAGTGTAAAAAAAATCATCAGCTGGTGCTGCAACAATAAGAGAAATTGAACATTGAATCAGAATGTGATACCACACAATCACGCAAGAAATGAATTTTCTAAATGCTACTCCAACCATACACTTGAGAAGATTTCATTAGCCAAGCAGAATCAAATGTAGTCTGATTTATTTATCATAAAGGTGGTAAAGATTATATTTTTGTGTCCGTAATTAAAAAACAAAAACCACACACATTTTAAACCTTAATATACTGATCAGCCACAACAGTAAAACCAACTGACTAATATTGTGTAGGCCAGAACGGCTCTGATGCATTGAGGCATGAACTCCACAAGACCTCTAAACGTGTCCTGTGGTATCTGGCACCAAGACATTAGTAGCAGATCCTTTGAATCCTACAAGTTGCAAAGTGGGACCTCCATGGATCGGATTTGTTGTTCCAGCACATCTCACAGATGCTCAATTGGATTGAGATCTGGAGAATTTGGAGGCTAAGGCAACACCTTAAACTCTTTGTCCTGTTCCTTAAACCATTCCTGAACAATTTGTGCAGTGTGGCAGGGTGCATTATTCTGCTGAAAGAAGCCACAGCCATCAGGAAACACCATTGC